ACAGTGTGAACTGTAGCAAGGGGGAGGGAGGGAATCGCACCTGCACAATGGGCACAAGTGGTGGCAGGTGGCCCATATGGTGCTTGTGGATTCAGCAGCTCCTAGCGATGCCAAATGTACAGAAACCAAGCATCTATACTCAGATTTTTTTTTTGCACTGCTTTAGCTATGCCAGTGGAAACATCCAGTTTAGGAATCTGGCACTACGGAAAACTGCACTGAGGCCTCCTGATACAGATTTGTTCTTATATATGGAATGAACACCAGGGGCTTGCACCTAGCTTGGCTCTTGGATACTGACAGCCCATATCCATTCTGCATATCAGAATAATTTAAAAAACCTCAGTCCACCCAGATCGGGCCTCTGCCTGAAAGCTGTGGTGAGCAGCAGAATGCAGCTTGCTTGTGTCTCTCACAGGCAAAAGATATCCTTAATTATAGTAGAGGTAATTGTGGTAGGGAGGGAGCCTGTAATTGTGGTACAGCAGGGGGCCTGAAACTAACCTCTTTCATCAATTAATTCTATTTCAAGTTGACAGCACTCCCTTAATTTTCAATAATACATAGAAGGGCCAAACTCCCACCTTGTGCTAAGCCTGAGAGTGCTACCATGGCTGAGTTAAGCAGAAATGTTAAACACTTTTTGGTTTTTTCATCCCAAAGTCTTGAATTAATAGTCTGGGACAAAAGCTTGCATCTCCTCTCTGGCTTCCAGGACAAATCAAGTTTAAATTGTGTTTCTGATGCATCTAGTTTGAACCGTTTCCATGTGTTACTGTTGGAATGACCTTTGGTCAAAAATAGGCCCAATCTACTCCCATTGAAAGTAACAGCATTACCAGCAGTGACCCAAATCCCAACAACTTCCACGGTGCAAGATCAAGCCTTTTAAATACACTGGTACATGCCCCGGGAGTTTGTTCAAGGAGTGCATGGCCTTACCCTCTGGCATCAGTCTGTCCATCCACGTGAACCAAGATCAGCTGCCCCTGACTGTCATGCCCCACAGCTGTCCTGGCAGATATCACGTTGATAAACTTGTCAAAGTTGCCTGTGGGAAACAGCACACAACATCCAAACCAGGTGCTTGAAGAAGTCAGACTTAATCTAGAAAATAACTCTCTCTATAAGAGACTGACCAGGAGGCTGCACAGGAACCTTCCCCTTCCCACCTCACATAGATCAGACTTCAAGCACTGAACCAAAAGCAAGCAAGTGCAGTGCAGTCTTAGTCTACTTGCTGGTCTGTGAGCAGGAGGCTGTAGCTTTGAATCGCTACCTGTGGTCTGAGTCTCGTCGCACTCTGCTGTCTTGCTTTGATTGATGTACACCTCTCCGTTTCTCAAGAGCCAGACCACCCCGCTCACCAGCTGCATGAATGGATTCACTGGGTCCAAGACATCCTCCTCAGAAAGGTAACTAGAAGAGAGAACAGGGAGGTTGCACAGCACTTTGACAAAGCGTGTTACCCTTGTTTGTAGGGAGCAGTAGATATACTGGAGGGTAAGGCTAAGATTCAGAGAGACCTTGACAACTTAGAGGAAACTACATGACATTCAATAAGGACAAGTGCAAACTCCTATACTTAGGACAGAACAATCCCATGCAGTGGTACAGGCTGGGGGCTGACTGGCTAAGCAGTAACTGCAGAAAAGGACCTGGGGGTACAGTGGACAACGAGCCAAGTGTGTCCTTGTTGCAAAGAAGGCTAAATAGCATGCTGGGCTGTATTAGTAGGAGCACTGCCACCAGATTGAGAGAAGTGATCAGTCCTTTCTATTCAGCACCAGTGAGGCCACATGTGAAGTACTGTGTCCAGTTTTGGGGCCCCCACTACAGAAAGGATGTGGACAGATTAGAGAGAGTCCAGCAGAGGGCAACAAGAATGGTTCAGGGGCTGAGGCACATGACTTATGAGGAGACGTGGAAGGAACTGGGCATATTTAGTCTGTAGAGAAGCCCAAGGGGGCATTTGACAGCAGCTTTCAGCTACCTGAAGCAGGGTTCAAAAGAGGATGGAGCTAGACTGTTGTTAGTGGTGGCAGATCACAGAACAAGGAGCAACGGTCTCAAGTTGAAGTAAGGGAAGTTTAGGTTAGATATTAGAAAAAACTCTCACAAGGAGGGTAGTAAAGCACTGTAACAGGTTACCCAGAGAGGTTGTGGAACCTCCTTGGGGGTTTTTAAGACCTTGGCTAAGATGATCTAATTGGGGGTGGTCCTGCTTTGAGCAGTTGGCTGGACTAAATGACCTCCTGAGGTCCCTTTGAAACCTAATGTTCTGTGATTCTCTACCCATTAGTGATGCCAGACTAATGCTTTGCCTATATTAGGAAGTCTGTGTTACTTCTGCTGGCGGAGTTCAGAAGTAGGGGTGGCTGAATTGGTGCTGACAGCAGCTTGACCACATGCATGCACACTAGACCAAGCTACTTCCTGCACCACTTCAGAAGCCAAGAGCGGAACCCTGTTCACAGCTGATATCTATGTTTCTGTGGCTAACACCCAAGTCACTGCTGGCACACAGTGACTCCACAGTGCCAATTGCTAGGGATGGGTGATAAGAAACATACTTTGTTTCTCGTTGAGGATAAGGGTTGATCTTCCCTTCTGCAAATGTAAGCTGCATTCCAGTGGGCGTGGGGCTTGCCTTAGGCTTTGTGGGTAATTTTTGTTCATAACTACACCCTGAAAGGATTACAACCTCTTCCTGAAGCACTTCAGGCCTGAGGACTCTGCTTTCCCTGCACAGCTTACGGCCAAGTTCAGCAAGTCCATTCAAGTGTAGCAGTCCATCAGGCCAGCGTAGTTAAGATGCATCAGATTTGGTGGCCATCAGCACAGAAAGGAGTGAGGGGCGCAGCATCCTGGCATGAGATGGCTGCTCAGCTTGTGGCTCTTGGGCTGCATGAAGCCCATAAAGGATTAATCTACCGGCCCCTTGCTCCCACTTTGCCACTATCCTTCCCCCCCCTGCACCGCCCAGCAGCTGGGTGTTCTGGGATCCTTCTCCCTTGTCCAGCTTTCACTTCTTGTCCCAAAGGGTGGAAGTGTCGCATAGCACACAGGGCCAGGGAGGCCAGTAGCTTAGAGTGTCCATGTGGTGCAATAGGGGGTCATGGCTAGGATTACCATACATCCGGGTTTTCCCAGACATGTCCTCTTTTTTGGACCCTCATGCTGCATCCAGGTGGGTTTTTAAAATAAGAACAAATGTCCAGGTTTTCTGTGAGGGGCAACAGAATAGGCAGGGGCAGGGCACCCGCATGTCACTACCACCCCCCCACAGTGATAGATGTCCTCTTCTTTGGACCTGGAAATATGGTAACCCTGTACTGTGTTGATATGTCCTGTGCATCTGGCAACCCCTGCCCACTTAAAAGTTGGACAGACCTGTTCTAATTGTCCCATTGCCAACTTAAATTGTAGGTCCATGAATGAAGACTATAATGTAGGGGTTAGGAACTCTGCTTTTCTGGCACTTATACTAAAATAAGCTACCAGCATAGATATAACTAAACTGCAAAAAAACCCCAGAAGGTGGCTAAAGTGGGAAGCTGGAAGTGGAGCAAACAGTAGAACAGGCTAGTCTCAGTAGGCACAGCTTTTCAGCCACAGAAGGTGACAGTCTTAGCCACACATTTTTTTAGCAGTCCCCTTTGAGACTAAGCTCAGAAACAGTGGTGAATGGCTCCCAGAAGGAAACATTTCCACTGTCCTGTGCACAGGGGCTGTGGTTGTGGATCCTTGAAACAAACTCTCAGTAAAGAGTCTAGTTAGGTCTGTGTGAAACTGGAGCTGCTTAAGGGTGTGGTGCTGTGCCAAAGGAGGGGGGAGGAGAGCACTGATGGAGCTTGCTTTCCAGCCAGGCTGCGTCTATTCGGCTTCTACATCTCCTCATCCTGCCCTGAGGCATTGCATGGCTTGGCAAGCAACTCAGACATCAGAGTTCTTGTCAGCCAGCTTCTGGGTTGCCCTTCTGTCCCCCCACTCACCCCTGAGCTGTTCAGACGCATTTTAGGAGGTGTAGGCCAAGTGACCTGTTATTTTTTCTCCTCCCTCGCTTACTGAGAGTGACAGTGGCCTTGAGGGTGAGAATCTGGTTTGCTCAGTTGCTTCATGAGATATGGTGCAAGTAGGGAGAGGGTGTTTGTAAACCTGCAGACAGGGCTGTGTTGGCAAATGCGCTGATGAGCTGTGTGGGAAGGTGAAGGGGAGCCCCACAAGATGAGCAGTGCTACGATTCACCAGAAGAGCTGAGCTCAATTTCAACCTGGCTGTGTGGGCAGATCTACCAGAACATGGTAAGTCACCTTCTAATGTTAGAATCATAACTGAGTACAGGCAGTCCTCGACTTACAACACTTCAAGTTACAATGTTTCACACTTACAATATTTATAAATAGACACCCTGTTTCAACTTTCTGACATCAGTTTCAAGTTTACAACGCTTGATCTGATGCAATTCCATGCCAGCGAACAAGTTTGCTGCATTGCCCATCTCCCTGGAGAACATCTGTCCAAACTTCCTTGGAGACTTTCTTTAAGAAACCAGACAAGGCTCCAGAAAAACCTGCAACTAAGACTCCTGAAAAGACTCCAGCCTAGAGTCTTTCAAAAAGTCCAAAATCACCTCAAAGAAGTCCTTCCAAATCAATATGATCGCTATTTACAATATATTAATACATTAATGTAGCTATATTACTCACCTATAATTGATCAAGTAAAAAATTCTGGGGTATTGTTGGTGAAAATAGGGTACTGGGCCTTGGTTCAGGAACCAATCCCCCATTTATAACATTGTTTCTTATGAGAAAATTGGTTCCGAGTTATATTTCAACTTAAGACGCGGTTTTCAGGAACCAATTGTGTCATAAGTCCAAGTGCCTGACTCAAGTGGACATGCAGGTTCACAGGGAAATGGAAGGAGGTCTGCCCTGAGGGGTCAGTGTGTCTGAAGTTTAACACCCCTGGCACCTTATCTTTTTTCTATGCATTTGCCTGGCTTTTGGAAAGAGATTCATTGTGGATACAATGCTAAGGTCTATACCAGGGAAAAATGCTGTAAATACCTTTTGCATTGATCGAATGCAGTAGGTTATACTGGAAAAGTCCCTGAGAAATCTCTTATGCCCTACTATGCCTTGAAATGAGCATAGAGGACTGTGAATGGTGTACTGAAATACACTTGATAAAATGCTAAATTACTAGCTTGTACAGCACTCACACTAACAAGCATGATGAAGTGCCCGTGTTGGTGACATAACCAGGCTGGCCCAATGTGCCACTTAGGTCAGAGGCCCATTCAAGACTTATTTCATAGATGTAGGAAGTGGAGGGCCTGCAAGAGGCGGCAGGGGGCGGGGGACAGATGGAGACAGGACGGCCAGACAGTAAAGCTGTGGAACAAACTACCTTTGTTTTCACTGGAGGCCTGGATAAGCATTGGGCAGTGATGACTTGGGCGTATTATTCTTTCACTCATGCCGTGGTTGGACCAGACGATTCCTGATGTCCCTTGCAACCCTGTGATGCTATGACTGTGTGGGGGGGAGGGAGATGTTTGGAACTAACTGCAGCCCTGTTGTGGTTCTTGAATCAGGTCCTGTTGGAGACACGTGCATATCTGTGTTTGCTGGGTGAAAGGAAGGAGAAGAGGGAAGTGTTGCTAAGGCAAGAGGAGAACGTGGAAGACCAGAGTATGGCATAATGACATGTGGAACGGAGAGAAGGATCTGTGACTTGCACTAACCTTGTATTGTGTGGCACAGGGAGCACAGATCGACTCAAGATTTGGGAAGACCATTCTATTATTATCCTTGACTCTATCTTCATGGCAAATGAGATGCATTGTGTGCAAGGAACAGCACCAGTCCAACTCTTTATGAAGAACTGTCTAATATGAAGCTTCAAGTCCTTCACTGACAAAGACTAACCAAGTCTCACAAGGGTCCACAGAGGTCACTTATCACCAGACTAAAGATGGGGAACTGAGTGAGTGCATTCCCCCTGCCTTACCAAAATGCTCAGTAAATTAAGGGCCTGACTTTCAGAGGAGCTGAACACTTAAGACTGCAGTTGTAGTTAATGGAATCTGTGGCTAGGCAACAACTCCTGAAGTTCAGGCCTTACGTGAATTGCCCAAGATGACCCAGGGAGTCCAGAACTGACAAGGGTGATTAATGTTGCTTGCTCAGTAAGCTCTTACTGCCACCCTTCCTTCCAAGAGGAAGAGAGAAGAATATCAGAGACTGAGCCAACAGGTCCACCCTATTATTACAGTGAGGAGCTCTAATACCTGAAATTACCATGGAAGAGTGCAGAAGTGAACTCCTAGGAGAACTCTTCTGCCACAGTATTACTGTTGGCTCTTTTGGGAAAAGACACTTCTTCAGGAAAGCTGCCTACAGTCTTACCCGAATACCATGGTGCCATCCTTTCTGATGCCAAACTGTGCATTCTGCAAGCCTCCAGCATTCTTCACCAGCCTCCCATCACTCACAACATTCCCGAGGCATTCTCCAGTGTCCATATCGAAGTAGCCACCATTCTGAGCCACGAGACACTGGCCATGCCTTGCAGTCTTTTCCACAGTGGCCCTCCATCTGGTACTGCAACCTCCTACACCACCGGGCTCTAACACAGAGAATGTTCTCAGGGGATTCCTCACAAAAGTGAAGTGGCCATAGACCTTCCTTTGCTTCTTGTCCTTTGGAGGGATGTCAGAAACAAACATTCTTGTGGTAGCCACTGGCAGTCCTGTACTTCTATCGCTGGGCCAGGCTTCATGCGTTACATTGCCATGCACAACACCTTGACAGTCTCTGACATGCCTGTGAGGGTGCCGTGGGCCATGCTGGGAAGGAGGATATGGTAGCAGCAAGTCATCATTTAATGAAATCCTGAAAGAACAGATTGGTGAGATTTTTGTTGAAACAAGTCCTCCTTCAGTCAGCCATCAGCATGTCCAAGGTTCTTGCATCACCCCCCCCGCCAATGGCTGACTAGCTGAGCACCTCTCAGTCTTCTTATGTTTATCTGCACAAAGCCCTGCAAAGGCATGTGCAATCCATTTATGCCACCCCTACTAAAATAAGGCACAGAGGGATAAAGATGTAATGTCTGTACACGAGTGGTGCTGCTTATGTCAGCATGGTTAATGTGACAAAGGCCCCACTCAACACAGTCGCATCCATACCAGTATAAAAGTGCTTTGCCATATTTTGCTTCAGCAAAGCAAAACAAGTTACACTGGCATAAAGTGCTTTCTACCAATACATTCATCTGTAGCCTAGGGCAAGACTACCTAGGGGTGGGTAAATGCACATGTGTTTTAGTTGGCAGCCGTTGGTACAATGTGAATTTATCTAAAAACTTTTCCCAAAACATTAGTGACAAGATCTGTATTAGATGAAGTGGGGGAAAACCCAATGGATCATGTGAGCAAAGATTAGGAAAGCCCAGGATCAAAGGGTTTGCTGGACTGCTGAAGTGTTGCTGTCATGCTACCGTCTTTACAGCCCCTACAGTCCGCAGGATGAGACACCACAGATACACCTTAACGTAAGCGATCAGGTCTTCTAACATCTAAACTAGCCTTCCCCTTAAAGACAAAAAGCAATATCTGCCACACAGCTCCTCTCTCCCGGGGCTAACATATGTGAGTTCAAGTACAATTATGTTAAGAAGACAAATCAGGAGGGGCTGCAGAACAGGAACACGTAAATACGAGTCCTTGAAAGAACTTTTGCCTCAAGGAAACCCCAGTCAAGGCAGCAGCGAATAGTCAGAGATGGACAGAAGAGTTGTACCGGGAGCTCCCTCCCGCTCACTACGAAGCAGCGCAACTCTGCCGTGCTGCAAGGCTGGGCGGCTCAGGGGGTGCGATGGGTGAGACAAGGACGAGGCCGGCTGCTCCTGACCAGCGGGGGGAGGGGCGCTCAGCCTCCTCGCGGCCTGCTCTTCTGCGCCGGCGCCGCCGCC